ACTTACCTTTGTGGTTTGGCCTGCATGTGGCTGAGCGAGATGACTACCTGGTCTGAGTTTCAGCTTGATAGGTAGTTGCTTTAGATGCTCGCCACGTGCTACAGCGATAGGAGTTAATTTCAAATTTTTGCATTTTCTCTAATAACTTTTTTTGCTTAGATCAATTATCGCATCTTCTGGGATCTTTTCTTATACTTGGCTTTGTATAAGTCTTGGCAAGTAACTTTCTCTATGGGAAGCGCTGTCGAAATTTCTACAAATCTAGGGAGTTAGTCAGATATTTGACTTCTCAAAGTTCAACTTGTCTAGACTTCATATATGGCTTAGTAAAATTCTGGGAAGTCTCTTTTTCTAAAGGGAGTGCTGCCCAAATTTTTGCTAATTCAAGGAGTTAGTCAAAATTGAACTTTGGAAAGTCAGGGGTTATTTCTAATTTCATATTTGGGTTTATGTAAATTATGAGAGGACACTTTTCCTACGCGAAGCACTGCCGAAATTTTCCTGTTTTTAGTGGAGTCAGATTATTTTTGATAGGTGGTTGTTCTGGCGATCCACCCTGAATGGGGGAAATTCTGCCATTAGTCTACCTTTGTTTGGGCACTTGCTTAGAGGTAGGCTTAGGTATAGTTAACAAGGATGGTTCCTGAGTGAGATCGTGATATGAGGATTATTCTCCATGGACTTATAGGTCTAGCCCGGGGCATTGACCTGTCATGTGTTACAGGTCCTCTTGATCGTTTGGTTCAAGTTCAAGACTAGATTCAGCTTGATTCATTGAGGATCATCTTCTATTAGCACTGATAACAGGTCGGTTGCCGATTCGTCGGTTTACGATTCAGCTCCAATTCACTCCTGCCACTCAACCTAAAGGCTTTAGCCTTGTGATTGAACTGTTTTGTTGTGTTTTCACCCGTACCTTATTGAATGGCCATCCAACGAAAGTACCGAGTATATATTTAAGAGTTGCACGAGTGAGGCTTGCATGGCTAAAGCAAGGGGTATGAGTGCAAGGAATGATTGAAGTTGACTCCGTATAGTGCGTGGACTTTTGGTTGAACCTTTGATGTGATTACAGGTACGTTTGTGATTCGGAATCTGGATGTGATTTGTCTGCGATTACATACATATATGGCTGAGGAGAGTCCCACAGTGACTGTGAGAAGTGATCCTCCTATGTAACTAACCCTTATATATTTAAAGGTGTCCTGAATATGGGAGACACCTTTTGTATTTATACATAAGGGTTAACTAGAATGTGCCTTGAGATAAAAGAGAGATTTTATTTTTACCCTTGTTGTTTAGAGCTTTTATAGTCGGACGTTTGGTCCTGGTCCGAGATTCGAGGTGCTTGTGGAGGACATCCCAAGCCCTAGACTCTGCAGGGAAGGAATCTGTCCCTGTGCAGAGTCTATTTGCTTTGCCTACCGAGACGCTCAGGTCAAAGGCCGGAGGTCCCGTGACGACTGCACGACTATTCCTTCAGCCGCGCAATGTCGTGAATGATTAGACCCTTACGACACTTCGAGTCTGACACTTGAGTGTCATAAGCGGTACTCGGATCCACGAGGGACCGCTTGATTATGGGCTCTACATAGTACGCCATCATTGCGACTGTTTGCGTACGATTGCATTGCGAGTCGATATGAGTTAGCCCTGCGTCGGCGCTGTTTTATACTAAGTCTCGCGCGCGACGCCTATCCGATTTGCGCATTGGAAAGTTATGGGTTGGCTACCGAGGGGCTAGGAGCGTTGTCGCGTTGTTTGTGTTGTGCCGTTTCGTATGTGTGCGTGTGTGTGTTTTATTTTTGTGTTCGTAAAAGTGGTGTGCACGTGGTATGTGGGATGCGTCCTAGTCGACCGACGACGGACCGCGCTTGGGATTTCAGCCCCCCGAGATGTCGGTTCGTTTGCGGGTCCGATAGGCGTATTACCTCGCGTGCCCCCTATGCTACGGCGAACGAGAAACAGGACTACGGCCCACCGAATTGTTATTTAACGGCAGTACCTTTGTTGGTTACACAATGATAGGTTTTTTCCTGATAAACATTCAATCAGAACTCCAAAAAGAAATTTATCAGCCATCACTATCCCGCGGAGTAATCTCACTGGGGCGGGCACCCCCCCCTCAAACTCTTACCCACGCGGTCCCGCAGCCAGGTTGCGCCGGCTAGCAGCCACCCAATAGGGTTACGAGCTAGAGGTACTAACTTCTTTTCCGTTAGCTTGGCCTTTCTTCAATATGTCTCAGAACTAGCACCAGTGGTTACACGAGGGCGTCGCAAAACAAAATCACTGGCCCACTGCGCGATACGCTGGGGTCCGAAGGCATTTACCAACCCTCCCTCAATAGGCATGGCATCCTTCACACGCTTACAAACAAAATCACCGCTAGATGCACCAGGTTGTGACCCCTGACTTGATCAGAGCCGGCAGCCACCCATCCTAAGACATCTCTCGCCCTGCACTCATTGCGACTTTCTTAAACATTTCAAACAAAAGTGGCCCTTTTCGTGAGACTTTATCACCCATCAGACAACTTTCCATGCCATAAATCAGTTTACTCACCTCCGAGGGTGAGTCTTCCAACAATAAACCATCCCTCTTTTCCAAAATCAAGGGGCTCTCATCATAGAACAAAAACATCCCCTTTCTCAAAATCACGAGGGGCCTCACCACATAACAAAATACCCCTTCTCCCAACGTCACGAGGAGTCTCACTACAGAACAAAACACCCCCTCTCTAAAAAATCACGAGGGGTCTCGTCATAGCATACAACATGCCCTCTCTCAAAAATCGCGAGGGGTCTCTTCATAAGACAAAACATCACTTAGAGATCATCTTATGGGTCCTTGCCACAAGCATTCGAGTCTTAAAAGACTCATAAATCTTCAAAAAATCCTCACACCCTTTCACAATCAGGTTGCGCTTCCTCCCCTTATAATCTGCACAATCAGCTGCCCGCGGGCAGGTCGCACGAGTATACCGAGGAGTATACAACTTCACATGTCTTAATTCACATATCTTCCACACAAAGCCAACATTCATTAGGATAAAACCACACAAGTGAGAGTGATAGTGATCGTCATAAAAACAAAGCCCCATAGGGTTCTCAACTCAATATGTACATCAGGATAAAGATGTCTCTCTAAAAAACAACGTAGGTACCCAGCCCTCACGTCCTACTCTGCTGAGTAACCCACGTCCCTAATACACAAAAATCTCAGAATATACCCAAACATACCCAAACTCAATTTACGCAAATCCACCTCCACCGTACACACCAACATATCACACATCTGGACACAGTCGCCTAAATCCTACCAAAAGAGGAAACAATCGATTCTTTCAGTACTACAACCTGCATATGTACAGATGGACAAGGTAGTCGTAACTACACCTGGATATGCACATATCTGGCTCAATTTCTATATACAAAAACTTTGATCCTACCGACGTATAGGCGAACCAGTCCCCACTCGTTCATTGCCCCCTGGTTTCACCTATATGGCTGAACTATCTGCAGCTTAAGTTACTTTACCGGACCATTATTGCGAAACCCCTCCCTAGATCCAACCTAGACAAATACACACATTCAAGTATATGTCTGTCTTGACTCACATAATATGCGACAGATCCTTACCAATTAGCACGGGGTTAGGGTCACGCAACGGTTGTCCTGCTACCCCGATTTTCAAGATCGATACATGTACAACTAAAGCTTTACCAACCACGAATCCAAGGATCTAAAGCAAACGATTAACAGAAGCTTCCCTACTCAGGGGTTCGGATGAATCCCCATTACATCTTGCTATACTTTCTCAGCCCTAGTCGTCTCATCTACTCTCTCCGCACCCTTGATCACCCGGCTCTGTCTAACGTTCTTCTTATTCGGCGGCATCAAGCCCCTCTCTTCTTTGAGCCCCGCTTCTGGTTTTGCTGGCTCCCATCGCGACCTTCGGCGCCTCGCCTCTCATTCCCGCGACCTTTATTGCCAAGTCCACCATCTCCACGGCCCTCGTAGCCACGCCCGCCATGTCCACGGCCTCTTCCAGCCGTCCGCTTTTGACCTTCTGCGTTGGCCCTGCCGTCTTGTGACACTTGCCGCGACGGTAGTCGTAACAGCCTCTCGGGCTGGGCTTGGGCTACCAGAGGCTTGGGTGCCATCTTAGGATCGTTATTGGTCGGGTGCTCCTCACCAAGCCAGTACTTATGCCTCATGTCATCACATAATTTCCCCCATGATATCCTCGCTTCTTTAACCAACCTATCAACTTCATCCCTAGCATATATGTTAAACCCCATGACCTCTTCCAGCATTCGCTCCTCGCTCCACTTGTAGTGGGATGCTATCTGTTCAAACTTGTCAAGTAAATCTAGGACATGATAACCCGTGAAGAAGTTTATCCCAACCGCAGACCCTATACCCATCTGATCGTACGGCATCCACCGCCGATATAGTGTTTGCTCGGCCAACGAAGGCCCCCTTTGAGCAGTTTCGCCTCCCATTCCTAGCGGAGTGACTACCTCTTGTTGCGAGCATTGCCCTTCTCCGGTATCCCGACCTCCCTGGGCCCAACCCCTCGCCTCTTGCTGAGCCTTTGTTGGTTTGGGAGGCTCAAGCCCCCCTTTTCTCCCCATCACACGTTTTTCCTTACTTCCTCGAGGGATACGGCCAGTTCCTCCCCAATCATCGCATACCACCGTCACCCATGGCTCTGGCCACCATCCACTCTTTTGCCCTTCCCGACCTGCCGCTGAGGATGCTTCCATGCTAGCGAGCCCGCTCTTTGGATTCGGCGCACGGACAGGCTGGGCCATATTAACATCCTTTTCCCCCTTGCATTTTTGGGGTTCCTATCGAGAGGGGTGATACCTAGTCATTCTTCTCCTGTCCTCTTCTTCCCTGGTCAGTCGGCTCACTTGGGGAATCCTTTGAAATTTTCCGCTTGCCTTTCCTGGCCTCCTCCAGACGGGCTAACCTCTCTTCCAAGGCCCCTACCTGCCTTTGCAGGCCGCTTAACTCTGCCTGTGATGGCGCGCCCGCAGCTAGTGTAAACGAGCAGTCCCCACGTTGACCTTCTACTCCGTCTTCTCGTAACCTTAGCCTTATGGAACTCTCTAGCTCATTCCACGTCTTCGCCTTTTGCTTGAGGGCGTATACCTCCTCGCTTAGTCCCTCACAGACGAACAAGGGGAACATGTACCACATCGCCTTCTCGTCCCACCTCTTCATAAGGCAAAATTTCCGGAAATCCCGCAAAAAGCTGGACAAGTTCCTTCCTTGAAACAACCGCGCACGGAGATCTGGAGGCATCGACTCCTGCACTGCCTCGCGCAGCGACACCTTCATTTGGCACGAATTCCTCCAACGCAGAACCCTGGCCAAACCGCTCTCTTCTGCCATGATGCTGACAACAGCCTGACACGCATAGCATGGCGGGCAATAGACCATCGAACAATGATTCAAGTAAGCTCAGGTAGATAGGGACAAACGGCTAACACTTACATCGCGTTATCTACCCTTTTACTCATGCAATCTAGCCTCAACCCCTAGTTATCTTGATGCTTACCCTTATAACTACGGTAATGGGTAGAGAGACGATCAAAGCTAAGTTAAAAGAGCACATTTAGTGGAAGGAGAGACATCCCCTAGGAGCCCACTGCTGCCCGAATTTCCTCCCAATCTACATTTCCTTCATTTGGGTCATGAGACGAGGCTTACCAGTCAGCTGCATTGGCCGTGTTCCTGAGCCACTACCTAGAGGGTAGGAATTTCGGGTCTAAGTACAGACCATATATCAGTTCACATGTGTAACGCCCATATTACCAGTTTCGCGCCCGCAGAGCAGCTTCAGTTGCCGCCCCTACCCTCGCCTGCCCACCAAAGCTCTTCTCTATGAAGAACTCAGGCAGGGTGACTCGCAGCGGAGCTGTCGGAAATGCGAACTCCCCAGAGCACTTGACCTCCACACGGGTTAGTACTCGCTCTCCTCTATCACGGGACACCTCCCTCGCCCGCTTTGCTGCGACTGCCTCGGCTACCCTCAAAGGCTTAGCAAGTAGGTTTCCATGCCCAAACGCCAATTCTCTTCCATACTCGACCCAAAAGGTGGCTGAGGTATACAGGGTCACCTTTATAATCGCGCATTCCTACTGGTCGTCGAACCCAGACTCGATCCAGACAAAGACGTCCGTGCCCATCATCATGCCCCACCATGACGAAATGTACTCTCCTTTTCTGACCCGCCTGGGTAAAGACACCTCGAGTCCTCCCTCTTCCTTAACTCGCCCGAACATACGCGGGTCTTCCCGTGCATAAGACATCCTGAGTTGCCTTTGCTTGGTCCGGGTTCTGTCCATCACAAACAAACGTCCAGCATGCGTCTTCCGTTATTAAACTGACAATCCCTACCCCTCTAGGACGAGCGACCCAAACGTACAGGCTAAATGGTCACCCATGAGCCAAGTTCTGGACTGGAGACATGCATATAAATCTCTACCGACTTATAAAATCCCAAATATGATCCCAATAAAATAACCCACACGAAATACTCGTGGAAGGGACGTCCACTGAAACATATATCTTCGCATACTTAGACATAACCCAGGATGTCTAGCATCAGTTACTGCCTACCACTCCATTAAAGGTCGACCAATTAATCTAACTATTAGCTTTTCCATTGCTACTCGAACTCCCTCTAGGATTATATGTCTTTTACGTAAAGAAGGTATCACCCAGACTCGCTATGCCCCGTAGCAGAACATCTGTTTAGAATGCAAACTCAAACATGTAAGTCGATGCAAGTAATATCCTTCAGTTTTCCTTAACCTACTTCTCCTCAAAGTACACAAATGTTTTCTGACCTGCCACCTAAGAGAGGATCTATACCTTCCACTCTTAATCAAAGGAACATTATCTCACTCATCATTAATTCCATTATGAGGCAACCATACTACGATGCTTTCCCAGTTACTCAGATGACTCTTATGGCGGTCCGAAAGGGTACCTCATAGGGCTAATTCTCACAATAGTCATACTTAACCTTGGCCATGCCAAGCACGCAAAGCATCGTCCAAACCTGTCTGTCATCTGATTAGAAGGTTTATCAATTTCAGCTATCATTATGCCAATCAGGGCTCGCAAACACATAATCAAAACACTTATTACTCTCGAGCCACTCATTCCTCGTTAATCAGAACCCAGTCGCCTCGATCAAAACTGAGTCATACAATCAACCTTCACTTCATGCCTTATCCAACATTGTATGTAACCTATCGTTCCGCCTAAACCAATCAATAAAGAAGAGCTGACCATTTTGCCAGAGTCATCATTTTGCCTCAAACCTAGGCTCGATCTTTAAGGACTTCTCAGTCTTGCAACACCTCCAACGATAATCATAATGTTAACAAATCGCTCGTACGGTCTAAAAAATATTTCTTATTTGCCTATTTTCTCACTTCCAATACCCGGATGTCGTTCCACCAGGGACTACGGTAGGCAACCGTTATCCCCGGCAACGGCGCCACCTGTCGAGCGCATTGGTCTGGCACCCTCCCGGCCGCGTCACGCAGGAGTTAAATAAAATCCTTTGTCGCAAACAAACATAGAGCTTCCGCAAGCCGCTCCGGCCGAGCGCGCCAGCCTTACCTCCCGCGAGCCCCTACGATAGGATAGGGCCTACGCGAGGCACGACTTACCTCCACCTTACGAGAGTTGTCACCTCCCTTCGGTGGGCGTATCCCCGCCGAGCTACCAGTCTACAGTACGAAAATTAATTAGTGGCAATCGCAGAGGTGGACCAGCCGAGGGCGTTTCTCGTTCGCTGTAGTGTAGGGGGCATGCGCGGTAATACGCTTATCGGACCTGCACGCGAACCGACATCTCGCGGGGCTGAAGTCCCAAGCGCGGTCCGTCGTCGGTCGACTAGGACGCATCCCGTATACCACGCGTACACCACTTTTACAAACAAAAAAATAAAACACACAAAAACACACATACGAAACGTCACAACACAAACAACGCGACAACGCTCATAGCCCCTCGGTAATCAACCCATAACTTTCCAATGCGGAAATCGGATAGGCGTCGCGCGCGAGACTTAGTATAAAACAGCCCCGACGCAGGGCCAACTCATATCGACTCGTAATGCAATCGTACGCAAACAGTCGCAATGATTGCGTACTATGTAGAGTTCATAATCAAGCGGTCCCTCGTAGATCCGAGTACCGCTTATGACACTCAAGTATCAGACTCGAAGTGTCCTGAGGGTCCAATTCTTCACGACATTGCACGGCTGAGGGAATAGTCGTGCAGTGGCCACAGACCTCCGGCCTTTGCCCTGAGCGTCTCGGTAGGCAAAGCAAATAGACTCTGCACGAGGACAGATTCCTTCCCTGTAGAGTCTAGGGCTTGGAATGTTCTCGACAAGGACCTCGTATCCCGGCCCAAGACCAAACGTCCGACTATAAAAGCTCTAAAAAGCAAGGGTAAAAATAGAATTCCCCTTTTCTCTCCAGGCACATTCTGGTTAACCCTTATGTATAAATACAACAGGTCTCTCTCTCATATTCAGGACACCTATAAATATATAAGGGGTAGTTACAAAGGACGATCACTTCTCACACTCACTGTGGAGCTCCCCTCAGCCATATATGTATACAATCGCAGGCAATTAACATCCAGAGTCCGAATCACAAATGTATCTGCAATCACATCAAAGGTTCAACCAAAAGTCATCGCACTATACGGGGTTAACTTCAACCATTCTTTGCACTCATACCCCTTGCTTTAGCCATACAAGCCTCACTCGTGCAGCTCTTAAATAAATACTCAGTACTTTCGTTGGACGACCATTCAATAAAGTCCGAGTGAAAACACAACAAAACAATTGAATCACAAGGCTAAAGCCTTAAGGTTGAGTGGCAGGAGTGAATTGGAGTTGAATCGTAAACCGACGAATCGGCAACCGACCTATTATCAGTGATAACAGAAAATGATCCTCAAGGGATCAAGCTGAATCTACTCCTGAACTTGAATCAAACGATCAAGAGGACCTATAATACATGACAGGTCAATGTCCTAGGCTAGACATATAAGTTCATGAAGAATAATCCCCATATCACGATCTCACTCAAGAAAAATCCTAATTAACTTTATCTAAGCGTATCTCTAAGCAAGTGCTTAAAGAAAGGTAGACTCATGGTAGAATTTCCGCCACTCAGGGTGGATCGCAAAAACAACCACCTATCAAAAATAATCAGACTCCACTAAGAACAGGGAAATTTCGGCAGCGCTTCGTATAGGAAAAGTGCCCTCTCAGAATTTATATAAACCCAAATATGAAATCAGAAATAACCCTTGACTTTCCAAAGTTCAATTTTGACTAACTCCTTGAATTAGCAAAAATTTGGGCAGCACTCCCTTTAGAAAAGGAGACTTCCCAGAATTTTAGTAAGCCATATATGAAGTCTAGACAAGTTGAACTTTGAGAAGTCAAAAATCTTACTAACTCCCTGGATTTGTAGAAATTTCGGCAGCGCTTCCTGTAGAGAAAGTGACTTGCCAAGACTTATACAAAGCCAAGTATAAGAAAAAATCCCAGAAGATGCGATAATTAATCTAAGTAAAAAAAGTTATTACAGAAAATGCAAAAATTTAAAATTAACTTCTATCGCTGTAGCACGTGGCGAGCATCTAAAACAACTACCTATCAAACTGAAACTCAGACCAGGTAGTCATCTCGCTCAGCCACATGCAAGCCAAACCACAAAGGTAAGTACTGTCACCAACCCAAGTTCATTCCATATAGATAGTTTATGAACCTTTTAAGCCCTTGAATCCTTATACCCATCTTACATAAGACATAGAGTTGGACCATTCGTCATGGAAACAATGCCCAGTCTGCCTTTAAGTTATACACGAACAGGTTGCACAATTACTTTTCTCTTCTTTTGGGCATATGACTAGGCCATTCGCCATGGAAACAATGCCTAGCCGCCCTGAACCGTTTAATATCCAAAATTTAGTATTTCTCTGACTTTGTTTTCAAAAAGGAAAGCAAATATGGGCAGGGGACTGAACCATTCGCCATGGAAACAATGTTCAGCTTGCCCAGACTATTTCCATTTATACTCCGAATTTTTCCATTTCTCTTTTTGATGATATGGCTTAACGCTGGACCATTCACCATGGAAACAATGTCTAACTCCCAGTTCACATGCAAATATATATAAAGTACTTTYCCTTCATACTCAATTTAACTTATGTGCGTGGTTTTCAGGCTAAATCATTCATCATGGAAACGATGCTTAGCCTTAGACCAGAAATCCTCCCTAAGAATGAACAAGAACTTAGACTCCTTCAATCAGGCAAACCCCCAGAGTTAACAAGAGTAAACAGGCCATTCACTGTAAAAACAATGCCAGATCCTCCAGAATACAACTAAGTAAACATAGCAACCTGGCCATTCACAGTAGAAACAAGGCCTGGTCCTTCGGAAGACAGCCAATTAAACATAGCCCTGAGTCATTCACAGTAGAAATAATGGTCAGGCTTTCGTTGACTCGGTCAAACGCATGCAGTCTACCTTCCTCCCACCTTCATAAACTTCACTCTCATACGTTCCTTCCATTCAGTCTGATTAGGTCCTGAAGAGAAAGCAAAAACCATAGGGACAATCTCATGCATACAACATTCATACTCTAGGGGGATAAACAGACATGGGTGGTAGTAGGTTGTATAGATGGAAAAGGTTTACTTCACGATTCCCTGCCTCCAGAACTCCTCTTGAGTTCCGGCAGAGCTCCTGCAATCGGTGGGGCGAACCTCCCACAGAGGCCTTGGCGAGGACCTACGGGTTGCAATCCCGCCTGCCGCCTTCCTCTTGTAACCAAGGACTAGAATGAGACTTAGAAAGGTAGATAGAGAAGGGTTTGAGACTCTCAGATCCTAGGATGATGCTCTCAGAATCGCAGGAGAGGACCTTGTTATCTTCCATCGCCTGAGGGTCTCTCAATGGTGGCCAAGTGTGGAGTAGCTCGGCCAAATCAAATCAAATCGTTGGCTGCTAATCTCCCGCTGCCCCTTCAGTTTGCAGCACGGACCTACGGGTTGCAATCTCGCCTGCCGCCTTCCTCTTGTAACCAAGGACTAGACTGAGACTTAGAAAGGTAGATAGAGAAGGGTTTGAGACTCTCAGATCCTAGGATGGTGCTCTCAGAATCGCAGGGGAGGACCTTGCTATCTTCCAGCGACTGAGGGTCTCTCAATGGTGGCCAAGGGTGCAGTAGCTCGGCCAACTCAAATCAAATCGTTGGCTGCTGATCTCCCGGTGACCCTTCAGTTTGCAGCAATAGACCCTTGTCAACAAGCGCCGCTATTTCGCAGGTTCCAAAGTCCGAACCGCTTCGGCCACAACTCAAAGTACGAGGCGTGGGTACAAAACACAGCCTTCCCCCTTTTTGTAGTAGAGCGACATGACCGCCTGGCTGGCTACATAAGTGTGACATACCAATCAAATAGGTAGGCCTGCAACTCCATGGCTGCCGCTTCACCGCATAGGTTGGTTTCCGTGTTGGCCATCCACTAGGATTGCAATCTTGACGACTTGCTCCTTCGGTCGATAGATAGGCCGCGTGTTGGGCATCAGGTAAATCTTTGAAGCTCGCGACTTGTCTCCAATTACTCCATGAGATAGGCCGATTAACACCCCGTTTAGCAGATAATTGCTTTCTTTTTGCCCGCCTGCAGCTAAATCTAGTCCGTCAGAGTGAGCAGAGCCCCGACCGACGACCCTAAGATGGCAACCTCACGGCGGGCTATACTCAACTGTCACCTACGGGATAGCCAACGCACGTGCTAACAGGTAAGGCCCCAAGCGTAGTACGCATTTCATCCCCCTGTTTTTCCCCTTTTTCCGCATCTACGCGCTCGACTCTGCAGCGAGTGACCCCACCTTCTCCTCGCTATTGCGCGCAAGCCCGCCCACTCTTCTGGTCTGCTCCCTCTCTCTATCTCTCTCTTTCTGTGTCTATCTCTCTCTTTCTCTCTCTCTCTCTCTCTCTCTCTCTGTGTGTGTGTGTGTCTGTAACCCTTCGCTGGTGAGATGGCTCCGCACCGGCCAACAGGTAAGTCTCCCGGTTTGCAGTTGGCCACACACTACTTAGTTCGAGGAGATAGGGAGGAAAAAATTCGAATGAATCTGTCCGCAAACACGACTAGATTCATTCCTTGTTTAAGCAGAAACTAACTACTCTCCCTTCGCGCAACACTACCCCCACTAAACTCCTTGTACACTAATTTTCTTCCTAAACTAACCGCGGATTCGAGACAGCCATAGTTCAAAACCCCCAAATCGGTTCTTCCCTCGCTCGTTTTCGTTCAGAAATGAGCGAGCTATGCTCTTCCTGCTTCTTCCTCTGATGCTCTGCCATAACCTCCGCGCAGTCCTTTCTCCTTATAACACTAATTCTACTAACTTACCTCAGAAAAAACTAACTCCATAAATTGATTCGCCCAGTGCAGCACTCATCTGCCGACCCGGCCCGCTCGACAACGGAAGGTGCTGCGGCCCAACCTGTGCTTGGCTGTGGCGGCGGCCCCAACATGGTACCTCGTGAAGATGCAGGCCCGCTGCATGTGTCCAGAACGCAAGCCAAGTGAAGCGGGTTCCAGTGCAGATCTCAGTGAGAAGAGCAGTTATCCGGATGAGAACTTTGAAGGTCGGAGCTGAGGCGGGTTTCCTATGTCTTGCAACTTACCGCAACCCCCCCGAGGTCTCCCCACAGTGTCCAGGGCCTTTATTCAAGACACCTCCCCCTTCCTTATAGCAGGCTGTGGTGCCGGGTTTGCCTTTTGCCCATGCCCGGGCCTAGGTGAAACGGCCCGGCGCAGATCTTGGCGGTAATAACAAATATTCAAGTGAGAACTTTGAAGTCCGAAATGGAGACGTTTTCCCCACGATCCGCAGCTTGCCGTGGTACCACAGGGGCCTAGCCTCAGTGTCCCAGGCATAATCCACCAACTCGCGGGTCCTAACGGGTATGCGCACACTCGACCCTCTCACAACAAAACGCGGATGGCTAATCACTCACCGCTCGCCTGTATGTCGGACACTTCGGCCCGACTTTTCACGACGGCAAGATAGGGAAATTTTGCTGGCCTTCTAAACATTCATAAATGCGACCGGGTTCGTACAGTCAAGGTCCTCGACTCCCGCAGTGGCCACTATGTTCGACATTGCGCCCAAGTCGACGGGGCGTCAGAACGGAAGTAACATAATAATAATAGGACGGTAAAATAAATAAACTTATTAAGATTTTTGACCACCGAAACGCGTCAACGGAGAAAAAGACAATGCTAGCACCTTCCCGCCGTCGTCGGGGGCAAAAACCAAGGGGAATAGCTCCACAGCCCTCGACCCCATCAGCTTCCTCCTCAATGCTCCGCTGCCACTGTGGCGACGATCGCCGGCCTCAATCCCCGAACCTCGATGGTGGTAGCCCAACGCCGTAACCTATAGGGCTGAGCCCAAGCCTGGAACCCACATCCGCGGAGTGCCATATGAGACAGTGCAGCGTGGTGCTCTGGGCCAACAAACCGGCTGCGCGGCTCCCAGTGTCAGTGCCGGCTTGCTCTTACCGTGCCAGAAATTGCCCCGCGCGCCATCCTACGACACCCCGCTCACCGCACGAAGTCGCGCCGTCGTTGCCGATGCCGTCGTCGGGGTCGTTCTCCGCACGCGCGCTCGACTCGGTCAAACGTAGCCATCAAAAGAAAATATCCCCTAGATACTAGTTTAATCAAGAGTAACCAAAAATACAAACTTAAAGATAAAAATATAAATAAACAGACCGGTGCCCACACCGGTTTTCGTAGTCAACCTCAGGGGATGAATCACGCGCGCCTTAAACCTCCTCCCCCAGGCACTCTTTACTCTAGTCAGCCATCCAGCTTACGTAATCACCGACATTGCCGCGCCTAGTGCGGTATACTTATCTTTAAGCCAAAACCATTTCCTGCCTCTTGTATAAAACAGGGCGGATACCCTTGTAAGGGTATTCGCACCGACAACGTTCTGCATCTCGGCCACGCCTGAGTCGCTAACCAGCTCGGTGGTTGCCGAGTCGTTACCCAACTGTATGGCTTCATGAAGCACCGTTCCCCGAGCGGTGGTTAAAACACACGGTCGACCACCCTGCTCTTCACCGCAACGGATGGGCGAAGAATCACCATCTTTTCGTTGTGGATCCGTTTGGATGTCGACACTCACCTCACCGCATTCCACCACGGGTTCTCCGCCTTTCTCATCGCCATGAACCTCAGCTTCCACCGCGGGTTCTTCTTCGTCTTCATCCTCGCCAAGAACGGGATCTTGCACAGATGGCAACCGACCTCCCTTAACGACACCCTCTCGCGTCGTAGCCACAGCCGAACGAGTGTGCAGAACCTCTTCGGACGTCCCGATCACCAGCGCTCGTCCGTGGAGCCACTTCACATCTTCACGAGCCAGCCCGTGTCGAGTATCCTCTCCCCGCTGTAGAGCATGTGTTTCCCCCGGAGCTCCTGCACTCTCGCTGTCAGTGTCCACGGACGCGCCCTCCGAAGCATGACGTTCACACTCGCCACCCCCGGTCTCCAACACTTTGCGAGACCGCCAGCGTTGAGTCTCCTCTTCCTGATGTACAGCACGCGTTCCCGTAGAGCGCTCCTCTTCCCAAGGAGTGTGACGTTCGTACTTGCCAACGCCGGTATCCAACACTCCTGCAGGGGGTCCCTCCAACACGTCGCGAGACCGCCAGTCTCGAGTCTCAACACATGAGAACGGAGGCGAGCAGGGCAACCCTGGGTCCAACTGAAGATGCGGGGGGCAGGACGTGACATTTTCTTGGCCCCGCGGAACTGTTGCGTGAGGAGCACTTATGGCGGAGGGCGACGTCTGCAAATCCGAATGTATTCAGAGTTTGTGACGGTCGCCCGAGCCGAGGTAACCGAAGGTCGCACCTTCACTCCTTCGCAACGCAGGCATCCCTCCCTCCAGGCAAAACGAAGACGCGCCCTCTTTCAAGAGCAAGGTGTTGAGCACAGGAGACCTCTGCTGCGCACGGCGAGATGGACTCTCCTCGGCAACAAGAAACAAAGTCCTCGCAGACAAGTGCGAATCTACTCGCACTTGATCAGTCGTCAGGGTGGCCTCATCTCGCATGTCGGAATCTCGACTCCCTACGCAGTGAGGGTCAATTTCCATATACTGGGGACTCCCAGACGTTCTACTCTTTCCGCCCGACCCCTTCCCGCCCGACCCCTTCCCGCCCGACCCCTTTCCGCCCGAGTCCTTTCCGCCTGACCCCTTTCCGTCGGACGCCTTCTCCACCGACAATGTCTCGCCTGTCCCCTTTCCGACAAACTGTGAGCCGTCTCCTCCGCCGCCTCCGCCGTCTCCTTCGTCTCCTCCTCCACCCCCTCCCGGATGCTGACCGCCCAATGGAGGTTGCGGCATGCGTCAATGAATGCCACGAGACGGTGCCGTTTCGAGTGTGTAGAAAGGCGCTCGAAACTCCAACATGTTGTTGGCGTACAACTCATTTAGCTTTTGTGCTGCATACGTAGCGACGTCCGCATCGTTCCTCTCGGGGTTCATGAGACTCAAATGCTCCACGAGAGCAGTTCTCGCCGTTCTCTTAAATGCACCCACTCCCAGTCTCTTTAGTCCACTCCACTTGCCATCGGCCTCCTTCATTGCCATGACCCACATTCCATTCCTCACAGCAGGTTGGAATGTCCTCGGGTGTCAGACGACGTTGTGTCCCCAGACATCCTTCGACGTGAACCGGTGATGGTTGCCGAAGAAGTAGAGTCTGTCATTCTGCCAGGTGTCATGGTCCTCAGGGAGCCTGTCACAAGGTTCGTGATCATAGTCTCTGTCTTCCTCCCCGTCATCAGACGATTGGTCGTCGACTGGTTCGCCTTGAAACACACGCTTTAAACCGGCAGGGGACATGCTATATCTCCGAGGGCCACCTTCCTCTTCATCACCAACCTGTCCAACCACCCGAGGAAGTGGCATGGACTCGAAATCGAAGGTTTCCGAGTCGCTCAGCTCCTCCATGTCTTCAGCGTCGAAAGGGTCCTCCTTGTCAAACTGTGACTTGTAGTTTTCCAGGGTGAACGGTTCGGCCAGCGTGAAGTAAACGTGCTCCAGCCTTTTCAGGAAACGCGAGACAGACTCCCTGGGTACATTGTGGTACCCATTGAGCACACCGAACACCAGGTTTTCCCGACGACTGTATTCGAGGTCGGTCGAACCAGGCGGTCCGGGTTGGAAAAGGAAGTCCCAAACCTCCGTCCTTTTGTTCCCCGGCATTGTCCAATACATGTCACGTCTGGGATCCCAGTTTCTTTCGTCGATGGTCTGGACAAAGTCGCAAGCATTGCGAGTGTCTGCAACGCGTGCCTTCACGAACTCGTGAAGGTAATCGATCATCTTCGCCTCCTTCTCCAACGCGACGACGTTCTGACCGGTGCGGAGGAGTTCCCACACGACAGAGGCATGCGCTTTCCCAAAGAAAAAAACAGTTTGCCCAGCTTTGCAAAAGTTTTCGAGTAGACCAAGTAGACGGAACGGGTTCCGCTCCATCTCCCCGTAAGCAGGTCCTTGAGAACTTGTCATGTCGCCGTCCTCCCACATGCTACGAGAGAACCTTTCCTCTTCCGCCACGTCGAAACACGCCACAGCCTGTCCTGATGGGTCCGACGAACACACAGCTTTCGAGCGGCCCGTCACCGTGTGTTTGGCCGAACTTGGACCATGAGCACGAGAAACCTTTGTCGGGCTACTGGCCGGGTAGACTGCGAATGTGTTGTCTTCCAGCTTTTCGCCATTAAAAATCACGTACAGGCGGTCACACTCCTCAACCAGCATATTGCCTTCCCGGACAGTGGCCTGCTTTTGTGCATTGCGCACCCACTTCCCTGCCTTGACATGATGGACGCTAAGCCTGGACATGCCTTTCAAGAAACTGAGCTCCCAACGAGAGGGGAAAAAGACCACAAGTGCCCAGTGCGTTGGCGAAAGTGTTTGGAGAACGCCTGACAAGTTTGCGAAATCGTCTTCTCGCCAGTCTGTGAGGAGTGGGATCACACAAATCGAGGACGTACAGGTTGCACACGTAATGTCGCACAACCTCACGGATCGCAGTGACATGACTGTGAGCTTGGGAAGGCGAAAAAGCGAAAGGAATAAGGCTGGTCACCCGGTTGAGGTGAGGCCATTTGATGTGAATCACATCCCCGCTGACCCTGATAGTGTCTCAAACTTCTTTTCTGTCCGTCGCAAGATGGAACGGACAAATTTTTCGCGTCGTCGATGGACTCCTTCTCGTGCAGAAGAGTACATTTGCAAGTGTTCACGTACTCCACTGCGCCCTGGAAATGCTTTCGCATTTCGACCCACACCTGTTTCGTGAGGCCCTGCGGCCCGAACTCCTCCAGAAGCTTCCCCTCGGTCTGAAAAAAAAGGGCTCCTGTGGCGGCAAACACATTCGTCCTCCTCCGTTTCAAGGAACAAGATATAGTGGAACATACGGAGCATCACACGGTCCACTTTCCTCGTCGCGACCATGTCTTTAATTCCAGGTTTATGTTGACGCTTCAGATGGCCGCCCGCGGATTGCACGAACACTCCCCTTAGCGCGAGAATGTCGTCAAGGATCGACAGTTTCTCGACATCGGTCATGTCCGCGAGACACTGCCAACAGAACATGTCTGGCTCCTTCACGACCACGAAAAACTTGTCGTCCGCTTGCGTTTTCTTTTTGGTCGGAGGCGGCGGGACCCGGACCAGCCACCCCATCTTCCTTTCACCAGCCGCCCCTTTCGAGCCCATTTCCGGAATTGCTTGCAGACCCGGAGATTTGTCTGGCATGTATTTGCTCGGCCTCGATAATGGCGTCTTGCCGTCGCCGCCCAACAACTTCCCCTCCGCCCATTTCGCGTAGAACTCCATGGCATTGCGGAAAACGTCATCACCGGCCGTTACGAGCGGCATCCACTGCCTTAATGCATTGCCAACGGCAGCGACATTCTCCTTGTCGGCGAGCGACGAACATTTTTTTGACAACGACCAGTGACATTCGTTCGGACTCTTTCCCAAAATCAGCTTTTGGAATTCGAAAAACTTTTGTTTTTCGGCCTCTTTGTTAGAAGGGTTCCCTTGAATGGCCATCGGCCTTCCTTCATTCTCCCATGCCTCCCGCATGTCCAAGAACGCTGCCTTCTGCGATCGCTGCTTAGACATCTTGTGTCTCGTGTTCTCGTTAAGACTGACCTGCCTATACCCCGCGAAATCTCGGTCGGAGAACCACACCACTCTCGCCGGCCACGTGTGCATCTTCCACAAATCGAATATTGGCTCACCCTCCAACTCCTTGACAGCAGCCACAGTGTGTTGTCCGTTAACAGGGTAATAGTAGTACTTGTCCTTGTCCTCTGGCTTGAAGACATCTTTGTGAACCCTGTCAGCTTTCTCCGGCCTACGCGTCACCGGCTTGTAGATGGGTACCAGAACCAAAGGGTTTTTCGTCCAGATCTTCCCCCTTTTCTCGCGCTATTAACTCAGCATCGCAGCCTTGATGTCGTCCACAGTTTCGCGATTTAGACTGCGGTGGTTGTAATATCTTTCCCAAGACGGGATGTCGCAGACCTTCTTGGGGTCGATGAGCAGTTGGACGGGGAGCTCCTTCTCCACGATTTCACCGCTACCGTTCCGCTCGTATTCGAGCTAGAACGCTGCCGCTTCGTCGCAGTCCTCACCGACAGGCCGTTCGCCCCCTTTTGCCGCCTCAGCAGTCTTCCGCCTTCGAGGTTTTTTTTGGCCATCGCCTTCTTCAACTGCCATTTTCCGTTTCGATTTCCTCGAAGATTCTTTCACGGCCGTAGTGCCTGGATCAGCCGAATCTCCTCCACCCACGGCTTGTCCTTCGCGGATGGTCAAACTGTCGGGCCTCCTCGCTTTCTTACTTGTCGTCCCACCCTCTTCCTTTGGCGGCCTCTTTTCCGAGGCACGTTCTCCAACGTCACCTCCATCCCCGCCCATCACCGCCTCCGATTTTCCTCTCATCCTCTTCATGCGAAGGGTTCCTTCCGCCACCTCCTCTCGCACCATCCTCTATCGCTCGCGCTTCTTCTCCGAAGGAGTGTTCTCCCTGCCAGAGCTTTCACGGACATCGCCCATCCCTTCAGCCTCATTCCCTCCGACATCTTGCCCCGATCTGCCGGATTCTCCTCTCGACTCATCTCGAAGCGAATACGTGTCGCCGCCGCAGCGGACCTTGATGAGTTTCGGAGTACCGACCCGTTGAGTCCCTGTACCCTGAGAATGCAAGTCCGACGTGTTCCCAGGAGCATTGTGACCTGCGTGTGAACGTTGCGCGCACGCCCCTTGACCCGACCCCCAGCGTCTTGAATCGGACTCCCGCGCTCCACTGCCGTACCTGGAGTTTCTTGAGCCAAGCCGGACGACCCCTCATGAGGTGGCAGAAGCCGAAAAACTTGTTCTCGCGAAAGAACCAGACGTTCTTTCGGCACCATCAGTGCAAAATCGAGATATTGCTCTGGCGATGGAAGACGCTTGTTGCCGCCATCGTAAAGGCCTTCGAAGTGAGAGCACAACGTCATGTTCGAGCCGCACCCCGCGAAACTCTTGATGATCACCAGCATACCCTTAACACCTCTGAGAGGTGGTCTGCACTCGTCGTACAAGCCGTTAGTGTGCAGCTTGAGCAAACCTCCAGGAGTCTTGGCGCACGAGACGATGGTACCAAGAGGAAGAACGTTGACCGCTCCCCCAGCGTCTGGAACGCAAGTGGGTCGCATGAAAACAACTGGCCCAAAAAGGTACCCCTGAACAACGAAGTCCAAAAACCATTGTGCTCCCATTGCATGCATATACTGAGGAGTAGATTGGTGAAGAGGTCGTCCCTCCCCGAAGGCAGTCGGTCCAGCGCTTGTGGAGGTGTTCTTTGTGGACCCCATTGTACTCCCACCCGTTGACTAACACGCCCAACCTAAGATCAACTCGGATGACTAACACGCCCAACCTCAGACCACTACAGAAGCGAAGTGCGAACTAACTCGGACTTAACGAAATGGAGAACGAAAAGGACGTAAGAGATGGGTGTTCGAAATGAACATGAAATCACAACAATCGGGTGAACGATAGGAAGGACAGCAGTCCTCCGGCAGAGTGCGAACGAGCTCGCTGTCGTAGAATCGAGGTTTCTTCTGGCTTATTTATGTTCAGGAAAGTACGAACTAACTCGGAGTTTCGGGAATGAAGTCGTCTACAACAAGTACCGCATGGGTATCGACAAGGGGGAACCGACGTGCAGTTCCGGGCTCAACGAAACCGAAGAATGAGATTGGTGTTTGAAATGCAAAGGAATACAAAACAATTGGGTGACTGGCAGAGTGAGTTCGGAGGGAAGACGACAACTCTTCGAAAAGATTGCGACCCGACTAGGTGCCCTCCAAACGAGTAAGATGTGGTTTATCGACAAGTGCGAAGGGTGTCGACAAGTGCGAACTAATTCGCAGTTCTGTAGACAAGACAACAATGGCAACTCGCAGTACTAGGGGAAAGTGCGAACTAACTTAGGATTGTGGACCTGAAGACCTGAAAGACGCACGAAACGAGTAAGATGTGGTTTATCGACAAGTGCGAAGGGTGTCAACAAGTGCGAACTAACTCGCAGTTCTGGTAACAGGACAACAATTGCAACCCGAAGTACAAGGGGAAAGTACGAACTGACTCGGAATTGTGGAGCTGAAGACCTGGTATATCGACAAGTGCGAACTAACTCGCAATTCTGTAGACAAGACAACAGTGGTGACCCGCAGCACTAGGGGAAAGTACGAACTAACTCGGAATTGTGGAACTGAAGACCTGAAAGCCGCACGGGATGGGTTATCAACTCCTCCAGCAGTGTTGCTCAAAAAGTGCGAACTAACTCGCATTTGCGGAAATAAAGAACTGCCTTTAATGAAATATGTGTCTAACTTTGGGTAAACTGCGAATTACCTCGCAGTTGTTACTCTTGGACTACTGTACGTCGCAAACTGGGAACTGACTCGCAATATATCTTTGTGTATATATATGTATCTATCTATATATATATATATATATCAGGTCGGCGACCTCACAAGGGACAGGTGAGCGAAAATCGAGAATTGATTCGGTGTTCAGTGTAGCAATGTATCTCTATATATACATATATGTGTCTATATATATATATATATATATATATATATATATATATGTAGATATCAGGTCGGCGACCTCACAACGGACAGGTGAGCGAAAATCGGGAATTGATTCGGTGTTCAGTGTAGAAACTAGGTATTGATTCGGGGTTCACCATGCGCTGCGACGACTACAAGTTGCGAAGGGGATCGAGCAGCTTTATACGAACGTTATCGTGGCTATGGCGAAAGGTAATCGAGCTGCGGAACGCGGATGGGCTATGGCGGAGGGTGGAGAAAAGACATCAGAACACGTCCACTGGCGAAACAACAAGACCGGGAATTGATTCGGGGTTCAACCAAACGAGGCTGCGGCGTTATATCCTGCAGGTACAAACAGGGCATCTGGGAATGTGTTCGGACGTCGGACACAGAATAGGACAACTCAAGTTATGTGATTTTACCTTCGTCGTGCGTTGAACGAGCAACCAACGTCGGACGGATATGGATGTGCGACCACTGAACCTGCGAGGGTGGAGGGATATCGAGCTAGGAAGACCGAAGAGCGAAGAGCGAAGAGCGAACCGAACACAATGTGGCAACTGCGGACGGAGCGAAGAGCGAAGAGTGAGCGGGTTATGGCGGAAGGTGGTGGGGACTGAAGACCAAATATCAGAACGCGCGCGGAAGCGATAGCGCGTCTTGATCTGTGGAGCGCCAACAAAAGGGATAACTCGAGGGCTGCAACGCCTTTTATACTTTGTTGCAGCAGGCCTCTCGTCGGGATCAAGGTGGGGCCGAATCGATTCGCGTATCGCACCTTTGGGCCCATAAAACGGCAGGGCCTATAAACGGTAAGGGGTACCGGAAATTGTCAGTCGTCGATCAACAATTTTCAACCGCGCAGATAAACGGAGCCACTGGTATGCCAGTGGCCCCAAAATCTCAGTCCACTCCGGCGTGCAAAGATGTGACAGTTCCCGAAAACAAGGGGCAGGCAATGTCATTTTCGCAGTTCTAATCTGGACTGTCGATCGGCATGATCCGACGCACGAGGTCAGGCGCAAGAATCCATAAGGTGCGGCGATTCGTTGTGCACCGAGGCGGTTCGTTGCGCGTTGAGGCCAGGCGACGGTTTATTTCCCGCCGAGGCGCGGCGATTCGTTATGCGCCGAGGTCAAAAACACCGAAAATCTATAAGTTCCGGTGTTGCTGTCATTCAGACATTTTGCAAATGTCAACGGCGTTGGATATCGATGCGCTTAGCCATGCACCATCGCCATCGATGCGCTTAGCTTATCGCCATCGCCAACGCTCGCCATGCACCATCGCCATCGATGCGCTTAGCTCATCGCCATGGCGACACAAACCTATATCCCCCATCGTAGTCGTCGCGCTCGCCTGACCATCGCAGCGCTGACAATCGCCATCACTCTCATCGCAGCGCTGGCCATCGCTGCGCCATTGCAACGCTGGTACCATAGCTGCCATCGCAACGCTGGTTCCATCGCTGCGCCATCGTTATCGCTGCCATCGTAACGCTGGTTCCATCGCTGCGCCATCTCTCAATCGGTGCGCCATCGCTATCGCTATCCCTGCCATCGCTATCGTTGTTCCATCGTTGGGCCATCGCTCTCCACCGGTGCGCCATCGCTATCGCTGTTCCATCGCTGCGCCATCGCTCTCCACCGGTGCGCCATCGCTATCGCTGTTCCATCGCTGCCATCGCTATCGCTATCGCTGCATTGTAACGTGTTCCATCGCTGCGCCATCGCTCTGTACCGCTGCGCCATCGCTCTGCACCGCTGTGCCATCGCTCTCCACCGCAGCGCTAGACATCGCTATTAAAGCCCTGGCCAGTGTTATCCCACCGCAGCGCTGAGCGATTTCTCTCTCTATCGTCGCACGATGTCCCTCCATCGCTGAGTGATCACTCTCCATCTCACTCCATCACTCCGCGATCTCTTTCGACCACCAGACAACCTCCATCCTTGCCCCAGAGGCTCTCCATTACTCCTGCGCGATCCCGCCATCGCCATTGTATTGTTGTTTCAGGTCGTCATCGGTGCAGCCGCCCATCACTGCGGAATCGCACGAAACAAGTGACAGGTATGCTTAACGAAGGTTTAACTCGATGGAACTGATGTTGTGCAATAACAAATCTTGGTCATCGCTATCTCTCTCCACCGAGGCGCGATCTCTACCGACCTTTCGTCATCTATCCCCATTGCTGCGGTATCTTTCCTAATCTATCTCCTTCGTCATCTATCTCCTTCGGTGCGCTATCTTTCCTAATCTATCTCCTTCGTCATCTATCTCCATCGCTGCGTTATCTTTCCTAATTTATCTTCATCGTCATCTATCTGCTTCGGTGCGCCATCTTTCTCCATTGCTGTGCTCTCGCTAACCATCGCTGCGCCTGCTATCTCCATTGCTGCGCCATGTTTCTTCATCGGTGCGCAATCTCTCTCTCTCCCTGCGGCACATCTCCCAATCAGTTCACTATCTCTTTCCCTTCCTGCGCCATCTACCTTCTTCCCCAGAATATACGACGCACTTTCGTTATAGTTGTCTTTAGACTGAAAGATGACCCGAATTCAGCTGTAATGACCGGACGTTGTATTCGGGGGAAGATTGTGACTCCTTCCATCTCTCTTGGTGCGCCATCTCTCTCATTCGGTGCGCCATCTCTCTCCATGTATTTTCATCGATGCGCCGTCTGCCCATCGCTTCGCAATCTTTCTCCATCTTAAAAAATAGTACGCCATCTTTCCCTATTTCTCTCTTGCGACGATCTGTGGCTCGTACTACACGCAGAACAAGCCGGAAACAACTTGCACTTGTACCCGCAGTTTCGTAATGGAAATGCTCGTTTACAAGTGCGAATTCATTCGCTCTTGAACCAACCAACCCCTTAATTTGTTACTGTTTAGTCCATAGGTCAGAATTAACTCGCACTTGTACCCCCAGTTTCGTAATGAAAATGCCCGTTTGCAAGTTCGAATTTATCCGCTCTTCAACCAACCATCCCCCTAAATTTCTTACTCTTTAGTCCATACGTCCCAGTTTCATAGTGGAAATGCTCGTTTGCAAGTGCGAATTTATTCGCTCTTCAACCAACCATCCCCGTAAATTTGTGACTCTTTAGTCCATAAGCCGCAGTTTCATAATGGAAATGCTCGTTTGCAAGTGCGAATTTATTCGCTCTTCAACCAACCATCCCCCTCAATTTGTTCCTCTTTAGTCGATAAGTCGCGTCTCCTCCCGTCCCAAAAGAATGAAGTCCTTTTGTATTTGCGAGTTAACTTGCCACTAAACCAACCACGAAGGCAATTTCTTATTGCACGGCGTAATTGAAATGTTCCTCTGAAGTGCGAATTTTTTGGCACTTAAAATTTCTTGTTGTTTAGTGGATAATACCGAATTGACTTGCACTTGTGTTCGCCCTTGTTCCGACCATGAACTTAATTTATTACTGTACGTTGAATAAGTCCGAATCGGCTCGCATTTGTACTCTCGCCTGAAAAAGTGCGAGTTTACTCGGACATATCCAAACCACTTGCACACTGAACGAGTGGGAGAGTAGTCGGACTTGAGATACCACTTGAGCCTCACATCAGGGTCCGACAAAACGATATGGATTCAAATGTTGTTGTTCCACTGTTTTGTGATAAATATTAGAAATGCGAGTTTGCTCCCTCTTGTTCATTTCCCTGACCTCGTCATACGTTGACGTGATTTTCTTGTTGTACAGTTTTTGTGTGAATCGTCTCTTCAAATGGTTGTCCAATCCGTCCACTATGTCATGCCACCGCCACCGTCGTGACAACACTGAGAAGACGATGTTCGACAACGTAGTTCTTGTGACAGCAGCCCGGAAGCTCCCTCTGATTGGCATTGCGGTTTGAAAAGGGAGTTCTCAATGTTGACCCCGACGAATCATTCAGGCTCGTCTACGACGTCCGCCCGGTGTCGTTTTGTTCGCTTTACCGACGATACCGACGGTCAGCGCGTATCTACAGCGCTAATCCCCGGTAGTAAGGGTGTTCGGGATGTCGAGACGTTTCTCGGTGGGTGGATGTTCGTAGACACAAATTTCTATGGTGTGTCCGAAACGACTGAATCAGATCTCGTGCGGACAGCAGGTAGACTGTCTGAAAGCATTGAAGTTGCCCAACCCCTAGCATTTGACTACAGTCGGTCGTTGGTGGACACAGACTTCTGTGGTACGCCCGATAGAAACGAATCTTATCGGGAACAGTGCGATGCATTTGACAAAAACGGGTATGATAGGGACCAGGCAACGGAACGTGCATGTGGAAGTGCGAAGATAGGTAAGAGAATTGCATGTGAAGCCGGAAAAGTTGGCTCTCCGTCGATGGAAAATTGGCAGACTGGTTTTGTAGACACAGATTTCTACAGTTCATCGGAATCCTCCCAATCTGATTTGCGGAGAACCGCTCCCACGGACAGATGAAAATTCCTAGGTGCAGCGCATAGGTCCCCTACCGAAATCCAACCTGGAACGCCCGAAGCAGTCCTTCAAGTTTTGTCTCATCCCCTACCTGGAGAAAGGAAAAGATATAATCGAAAAAATAGGCCGGTTAGAAGGTCAGAGCATTCGAGGAGGGCCAAAAGTCGATTGAATGAAACTAACATTACGCTCGTCTCGACGTACAAATGTTGTAAGAACAAGTGTCTTCGGGTCTTGACCATTGACGATATCAAACCGGTGCGCGAAGCCTATTACGAAATGTCCCTCGAAAGGAGGATCGAGTGGTGGATGCAAACCCTCGATAATTTCACTATCTTCGACGGCGGTCTGGAAAGAGTCCAACCAGAGCAGTGCAAACACCGTGTGCGCATTGCCGGTTGGTGCAAAATAATAGGGATATGTTGAAACACATTTCGTCGTTATAGCAAGTGCAAGTCGGACGGGGTCGTGCATGGCCGTCATGGTCGATGGGGATTGTTCAATTCGAGACCGGAGTATGTGAGCATGCTGGCTCGTGTGACAAGGTTCGTGGAAGAACATGGAGATGCTATGCCTAACGAAATGGTTGTGAGGGGGACCTCACAACGACCTAAAGTTAGGCTCCCTGCTTATTTCACGAAGCTCYTTGTATACGAGTCCATCAAGGCGGACTTGGAAGCGGCGGGTCAGACCGTCATTTTGGAGCAAGTCTTCTACTCTGTGTGGAGGAAGTACTTGTGGCATGCCGACCTTGCCAAGTCCAACTCGTTCACAAAGTGTGGCGAGTGCGTCTGCCTTAGACAAGCCGGAGATAACGCCTTTCTCCTTCGTGACCGTAGGGATTTCAATGAAAAGCACCGCAAACACCAACTAGATCGGGTCGCTCACTGTGCGAATTACGGTGACTGGAAACTTCGTTCCATTTTGAACCCCGCGGAATACCTCTGCCTTATAATGGATGGAATGGATCAGAAAAAGACAATCATTTCGCACATCGACATGTACAATTACTCCAAGGATCATCGACACGACATGATGATGAAAACGAACCTGATCGCGGTCGTAGCTCACGGAGGGAAACTGTCCATTTATGTTTACACGTATTTGCCTTTCTATGCGCACGGTTCCGATGGCACCATGACGTGCGTTATGCGGACTCTATGTGAGTTGCAGGCGTCGGGCCAGAAATGGCCACGCCACCTCCAAATCCAAGTGGACAATTGCTAGAGGGAAAACGAAAACCAATACCTTATGTGGTTGGCCTCTCTTCTGGTGAAATTCGGGATTTTCGAAGATGTCGAAGTAGGGTTCATGCTCGTTGGCCACACGCCTACCGACATAGACGCGACTTTTAGTATTTTCTCGAAAAAACTGAAGGACAACGATGCTTACAGCATGAAGCAGTTGTTCTCGCTTATCGAGTCGTTGCACAAGATACCGCCGAAGTGCATTGAGCTCGATCACATTGCGGATTGGCGTCGGGTAGTGGATCAATACGTCAACAGAACCATCGTCGGCGTGTCGAGACCGCACCTCTTCAAATTCTTCATGCGTGACGACAGTCCCGTCGTGGTGTACAAGAAGTACTGTACCGATGCGGAATGGATGCCGGAAGGCAGACCAGTTCACTGGTTCCCGGTTGCCCTGTGTCGTTAAAGACGATTTTCGGATGGCTCGTGACAGTGTCCAAAAATTTGTGGACGTCCTCGAACAACATAGACACATGTGGCAGACATATAGGAAGGAGGAGGTCGACAAGCGGGAAGATGCTTTGTCTTACTGGAAAGCCATCTTCGTCGAGGCGGACGACATGATCCAACAGCAAAAGAAGAAGGAGACGGGATAGGGTGAGGAAGAGGATGTCCTCGGGGCGGACGAGCCGGAGATCTACCCTCACACCTTTTGGCCACAATCAGTCGAAATTGTGGAAGAAGTTCAAGAAGCCGACCCTCCTTCGCCAGATGCTTCGCTATATGTAGGACCGAGGGCGGGCCGTCCAAAAGTGGACTTCGACCCTCAGCGCCATATAAACAAATATGATTGACTGATTGTTAGGTCGCCTGATGAGGAACTGTCTCAAGGTGTCCCGTTCTGGGTTGGCAGAGCACAGTGGACGACCGTTCCTCACCGCATTTCGGTTGTTTACGTATATAGTGGTGGGTGCCTACAGGTCACTCGTCCGATCTTCGCGAAAGGTACTCCGGCGCTTGGACGAAGAGGTGGAAACTTTCCACTTCGGACGAGGAGCAATGGCAACGCACCGAAACCGTGGCTTATTCTTGGAGAAGACCTTTTCGCAAAGGGACGGATGAGAGCAAATTCGTGACAGGCCTTGCAATACCGACATCCGTTTGCGAGAAAGCGCTT